GCAAGAAGCAGACGAGAAAGGCACATCGTAATTTATACTTAGAAAATCCTGGAGACTCGTCGCAAACCTTCAATCCAAACGAAAGCAAGGAAACTCGGTAAGTGAAGGAGGTTCTCGACTTCTCAACGCCCTTCCTGCGTGCATAAGGAGAATTACCCACAAACCAATAGCTATTTTCAAGAGGGAACATGATAGGTTGTTCAAATCAGTTTCTGATAAGCCAGGCTGTGGCGATTATGTTGAACTGTATACTGCCAGCAGCAACAACCTAGTTGATCTGGCGAGCGACCAGGTCTGTTCTCGTACCAGGCCGTGGGGATACGACGAATCTCGAATCCGCAAGGATATTCTTCGCCTACGTTCCCAAGAGAACAATTCAAGGGAATTCAAACAATTCAGGGAACTTCAAACTGAATTTATAAAGGCAGCTGAGTCCTCTGTACCGCTCCTAGCTCTGTAATTTCGCCTGCCTTGAAAGGGACCGTTAGTATACAGCAATATTCCAGCCTGGAGAGAACAAGTGACTTGAAGAATATCACAGGCTTGGCATCTCGTTTTGAAAATTCTAGTTATCCAACCTATCATTTTCCCTGCAGTAGCGATAACAACACTGTTGTGATACTTGAATGTAAGATCCTCTAACACTGTCGCTTCCAAGTCTCTCACACTGAACTTCCACTCTACTGAATGATTCGATTTTTTTATACCAAGTTTCAGTGTTTATTTCCTTGAATCTTCTATAATGGAGCAACTGATATTGTCTATGGCTTGTTGAAAGGCTTAGTGTATAAAATATATATATATTATATATATATATATATAAAGTATATATATAAATATATATATATATATATATATTTTTATATATATATATGACTTGAAGATTCCCTGTAGACTCCATGGACGCCATTCTCATAAAAATATTGATGATACATACCACTGTGTATGTCAGATATAAGACTGAGGAACACAAGTGCTGTTATTGGCGCAGGTCTACAGACCCATCAAACAAAATAATTGGGCACCAGTAGACGGTAGTGGTCCAATGTTCTCTTGAAAACTTTTTATTTTTGTTCCAGCAAGAATATATAAATCTGCTGGTAGAAGGGAGAGGAGTCGTGAACACCTAATATTGACATTGTTCTCTAATTGTGCTTAGAGCACCACTGTTCTTGAGTACACAAATAACCTGAACATAGACAAGAGCTTACGACGACGTTTCGGTCCGACTTATGTGTTACTCTGTAAATGGTCCATGCTGGACCGAAACGTCGTCGTAAGCTCCTCTTTCTTATATGCGGGTTATCTGTGCATTTTTCCAGTCACGGTATTGTGCCTATTTGTTCTTCTCTTTACTAAGTTTATTCTATCAATTTTCTGCCATATCTCTCACTCCAGTAAGTTGTTATGTCAGGCTGTCAAGCATTATTCAAGTACATGTTATGACATCTCGCTGCTTTAACACGCTCCCAGTCGTTTCAGCGGTTTTTTTTTCCTTACTATACGTGAGTAGTACACGATCTCAGTGGATTTTGCACCTCTTGCTATCTCTCCACCTTGAAACTGGCTGTAAGACGACCACCACCACCACCTCACACACTCCCTCCACTGCCTCCTGTAAGTCAAGTGTGAAGCAACCTTTGACACCCGTTGAGTCATGCAAAATTTATTCATTTCTGTTTTTTTTTTTTTTACGACGGACTAAGACAAGAGTGCGACAAAAATTCCACTGAAACCTTTGATTCATACTTCAATTTTAATTTTTTTTTTAAGTGTAGTCAAGCCGATGATTGGTTCAAAAGACTAATTACCTACTTAAATATTTTTTTATTTACATTATTTATTACATACAAGCATTTTATTTACTGTATGTATCTATACACCTGCTCTCCTGGTTCTACTATTACTGACGCCAATACTGTGAATATTACTATCACAAAAAAAAATTTTTACGTGCGTACTGACGCAAAACAAAACCAAGGTTCTATCGACAAGCGCATTTGACGAACGTACACACACACGAGCTATGAATCGACCCCTGCAACCATAAATAGGTGAGCGCACGCATATGCACATGCAGCGCGCGCGCACACGAGAGGAATCGACAAGGTGGACAGAGACAGGATGTTCCAGAGATGGGACACAGCAACAAGGGGTCACAGTGGGAAGTTGAAGACTCAGATGAACCACATGGATGTTAGGAAGTATTTCTTCAGTCTCAGTTGTCCGAAAGTGGAATAGCCTGGGGAGTGATGTAGTGGAGGCAAGATCCCTACATAGCTTTAAGAAGAGGTATGATAAAACTCATGGAGCGGGAAGTGTGTCCTAGTAGCGGCCTGTGAAGAGGCGGGGCCAGGAGCTGTGAATCGACCCCTGTAACCACAACTAGGTGAGTACAACTAAGCGAGTACAACTAAGCGAGTACAACTAAGCGAGTACAACTAAGCGAGTACAACTAAGCGAGTACAACACCACACACACACACACACTAAAAAATCTCTGTCTCAAAGTTATACGACTTTACCTAATGACATGGGCTTTAATGTCTGCAAATCACCCGCCATTTGGCCAAACGACACCATTAGTATTGTGGTTGTGACTTAACATATGCACTCAAAAACCACCTCAACGCTCACGACAAATAGTGTGCAATATGCACTGCCTAAAATATTTACTCAACTAGATTTTGCAAATAATTTAACATTTTTATATTTAAGAATGGGGAATAAATTGTTGAAAATAAATGGTTGTCATACAAAGGGTAAAAAGTGATTTGTACCTACGATACTCATTGATTTGTTTCCACTGATCTGTTTCTATCTGTTGACCCAGACCGTCTAGGTCCCAGACCAGGTCTCATGGTTGAAGTTCTTAATTCACACTATTTGTGCTAGCAGGACACATTCCAGCGTAGGCACAACAGACCGGCTGATCAGGAGTCGACTGAAGGAATTTACTTATCAATTACAGTCTTGAAGATATTTAGGAGTTGGCAATTAACTTAATAATAATAACAACAATAATAAAATATATATATATATATATATATATATATATATATATATATATATATATAAATAATATATATATATATATATATATATATATATATATAAAACAGGAAAAGTATTAAAACGTCTCGACTTACCGAGTCATCTCAGTATAATCGCTGCACCTTTGCTCTTCAACGGGATATTTGCATCACCTGACAAGCCTCTTCCTCTCGTAGGAATAGAGTTGAGTATGCAGATATCGAGGCAATACCTCCTATTATTATAGAAATTTGAACCGAGACAGGAAGTGAAGGTTCTCTGTACACCCTCTTGATCTGTATATTTCCTACCTTAAGAGTGTGTCTGAAGCTCTCTGAGCCTTCGCTCTTTACCTTCATACAAACTACCATCTCTATTGCATCCTAGCCTCTTGGGCTTTAATCATACCTGTTCTTGGAACTACGTAGGGAAATAGTCGAAACTACTTTGAGTTTGTCATTCCATTGCCTTAGTATTTTCAGAATTATTTCATTACATCACTCTGGCTCTCTCTCTCTCTCTCTCTCTCTCTTTCGTGTGTATGTGTGTGTGTGTGTACTCACCTATTTGTGGTTGCAGGAGTCATAGCTCCTGGCCCCGCCTCTTCACTGATTGCTACTAGGCCTTCTCTCTCTCTGCTCCACGAGCTTTATCAAACCTCGTCTTAAGACTATATATGGTTCCCGCCTCCACTACGTCAATTTCTAGGCTATTCCACTGCCTGACAACTCTATGACTAAAGAAATACTTCCTAACATCCCTTTGATTCATCTGAGTCTTCAACTTCCAACTGTGACCCCTTGTTTGTGTGTCCCATCTCTGGAACATCCTGTCTTTGTTCACCTTGTCTATTCCGCGCAGTATTTTATATGTCGTTATCATGTCTCCCCTGATCCTCCTGTCCTCTAGTATCGTCAGGCCGTGTGTGTGTCTGTCTGTTTGTCTGTCTTTTTTAAACTGTGCCTCTTTCTCCTAGTCGTAGCATTATAAATTATTCTCTCCCGGGTCGCCTTATCAATTTCTCTGAGCATGTGGTACGTTGTAATACTGTCCCAGCAAGGTAGATTCCTCACCTCTTGAGACTGCTTCACCTTGTGTAGGCTCCATGCTAGCGCAGCCTAACTTCGGCTCGACAATGGTGAACAGAGTCGAGAGCAATTTTCTTTACTCACTAGCCCTGTATATGCTGACGAAACAGAGAGAGAATAAAACCTCTGGCTACATATTCTGTGTAATGTTTAATCCTAAAACTCTTTATACCTGTAGTTTCCCGCACCTCCCACTCCTACACCACTGTCATCCGGCTCCGGTCTTCTCATTTCCTCTCAGATTCTAAGAATTTTCCACTTATTAGCGTTGAGCTCTATCTAGCAGCCAAATGTTTGGTAGAAACCAATTCGAAACATAGTTTTGAGACAGTACAAAAAGTCAGTAAACAGTAAAACAGTTAGTAGCTTGGCCAGGAGCTACGAAACGAATCGCTCCCTGCAAACAACTAGATAAGCACACAGCGTACGTACGTAATTCCTCCTATTACCAAACCAGCTGGGACAGAAGCCATTAAAATCCTTATCTAATTATCTAATGCGAAAGAAAATAACAACATTTAGCTCGGAGGTTATATCTGAATAAACATGCTCAGGTCCAAGGAAAACACTGGAGTATTTACATACTCTTAAACGAACACGACCCTAAACACACCCACACAAACGATGAAGCACAGAGATTTAAATAAAGGAAAATACATATTCCTTTGTATGAATACATTAAGAAAACACCACACTGTGTAAACCTTCTTGATAACTTCCATTTTACAGAACCCACTAAATCGAAAGACTCTCCAAGAAACCTTCCTTCAAAAATAATAATCTTTCTCTTTTTTGTTTCTTCAGCAAGATTCCTCAATTAATTCATCAAAAGAAAACTCCCACCTACAGAGGACAACAACTCAGTATATCAGGTACTCACACAGCAGAAGTCCTCGCCAACGTAGCAGAAGTCACCAGAGGCTGAGGTGGGGCACCACAAGTGGTCACCATTAATGGCTCCTTCATTCCAGTCACAGGTGGAGCGCAAGACTCTCCTCTCTCCATTCTCACACTGAATCTCCACCTCAGAGTTGATGGCCTTCCTGTGGCAGAGAAACACACGCACTGCATCAGTTATATGACACACTCACCGACCATTCCTCAAACAAAAACAGTTTGTTTATAGTTAAGAACACTTAAATTCATAAAAAAAGTTATAAAGTTGGTGTGTATATACATAGATATACATAACCTGTTCACATACATCGATTCCTCTGTGTACGTGCATGTACGTGTGAGAATGCTTGTGTAAGTACTCATTTATATGTGGTTGCAGGAGTAGAGTACCAACTTGTGCTACTAATAATAAGAACAACACATTTTTTTAAATCATTTGAGTATAATTCAAATATGCACAGTTCAATATTAGAGTTTGAAATACACCTGATGAACACTGAACTAATTAATCCAATTGCTATATCTTTTCAATTATTATCATTAAATAAAAAGCCCAAATCCCTCATGTTTCATTTAGCGAATATACTGCACCATGCATATTGAACTGACATATAAAAGACTTCAAATGCAGATGGTCCTCGCATGAGGACCTCTCATAATCAGAGAAGTGGTACCTCACTTCTGGACCTGAAGTACATATTAACCCAAACTATGTCACGTCAAGTGCGACATGTCAGGTGAAGAGGTTATTTTATCAGTATAGCTGAAAATGATCAGAAATTGTATTAATTTTTCATTGTATTTGGCTCATAAAGTCCGTCACTTAAACTCACATTGCAATCGGTACCATTTTTTATACAAATTAGATCACATTTCGTTCAACTGTTATCATGCATGTAGCAACTTTCTCAGTTCTTGACCAGTTATTAGGACGATCAAAATCTCGTATATGAATCAACAGAGCATCCGATCTCTGGCAAGCCCTAATGCTAGACTCTTGTTGCTTGTAATCTTAATTTCAGGCTTTTACCAGTCTGTCCTACATAAAATTTAGCATATTAAGTACATTAGATCTTTGTTCTTGAGACAATCATAAGACATCATCCACTTGTCCATAATAATTACCCTTATCATGAACAATTCTATTTAGCCAACCAATGACTGTATATTATAAACATAACCAACAATATTTTATGGGGAATTTGTAAAAAAATTCTTCTATGTATTCTTTTAAATACAATAATGACGTTAACGTTTCTGAGTAGAGTCGCAATGACGGAAGACATTTCCTTCTGTAGGCTTCTAAGATGTTTTCCAAGATGAAAGTCTTGCACTCTCATTTTTACCTCACTGTCTGATGATGATCACTTGATTACTCGAAATTAGTTAATATTTTAACTGTGATTATCCTGCTTCTGTGATTTTACGTATAGATTTTATATATAGATAAAAGGTTGATGGGTAGGCTTCAGGATGTATATGTTTATAGAGGGGGCAACGGATATATCAGGATCATTACTTAGTTGTAGCTACAGTCAGACTAAGAGGTAAATGGGACAAAAGGAAAATGATAACAGTAAGAGAGGTGAAAGTTTATAAACTAAGGGAGGAGGAAGTTAGGGTGAGATATAAGCAACTATTGGCAGAAAGGTGGGCTAGTGCAAGTACGGGTAGTGGGGTGGGGATTTGAAGAGGGATGGGATACTTTTAATAACGCAATATTAGAATATGGGGTAGAAGTTTGTAGATATAGGAGAGTGGGTGCAGGAGGAAGGAGGAGTGATTGGTGGAATGAGGTAAAGGGTGCAATGAAAGAGAAATAGGTAGCTTATGAGAGGTTTTTTACAAAGCAGAAGTGATATAAGAAGGGCAGAGTACATGGAGTGTAAAAGAAAGGTGAAGAGAATAGGGAGAGAGTGCTAAAGGAAAGCAAATAATAGAATGGGAGAGGCAATGTCAAGAAATTTTGCTGAGAATATGAAAAAATTTGGGGATAAACAAGTTACAAAAGCCTAAGGAACGAACGGATTTGTCAGTTAAAAACAGAGTAGGGGACTTAGTAGATGGCGGGAATATTTTGAGGAACTTTTAAAGGTCGATGAAGAAAGGGAGGCAGTAATTTCATGAACTGGCCAGGGAGGTACAACATCTTTTAGGAGTGAAGAAGAGCAGGATGCGAGTGTAGGGATGGTACTTGAGGCATTACGTAGAATGAAAGGGGTAAAGCAGCTGGAACTGACGGGATCATGACAAATTTTTAAAGCAGGGGGGGATATAGTGTTGGAGTGGTTGGTATTTTGGTTTAATAAATGTATGAAAGAGGGGAAGGTACCTAGGGATTGGCAGAGAGCGTGTATAATTCCAGGTAAAGTGTATGTTAGGGTTATTATTGAAAGAATTAAAGGTAAAACAGAGAGCAGGATTGCAGATGAGCAAGGCTTTAGAATGGGTAGGGGATGTGTAGATCAAATGTTAACACTGAAGCATATATGCGAATAGTATTTAGATAAAGGTAAGGAAGTTTTCATTGCATTTATGGATTTAAAAAAGGCATATGCTAGAGTGGACAGAAGAGCAATGTGGCAGATGTTGCAAGTGTATGGAATAGGAATTAAATTACTAAATGCTGTAAAAAGTTTTCATGAGGATAGCAAGGCTCAGGTTAGGGTGTGTAGGAGAGATTACTTCCCAGTAAAAGTAGGTCTTAGACAGGGATGTGTAACGTCACCATGGTTGTTTAACATATTTATAGATGGTGTAAAAGAAGTAAATGCTAGGATGTTGGGGAGACGGGTGGGATTAAATTATGGGGAATCAAATACAAAATGGGAACTGACACAGTTACTTTTCGCTGATGATACCGTGCTTTTGGGCGATTCTAAAGAAAAGTTGCAAAAGGTTAGCGGACAAGTTTGGGAGGGTGTGTAAAGGTAGAAAGTTGAAAGTGAACATAAATAAGAGTAAGGTGATGACGTTATCAAACGATTTAAAGAAAAATTGGATATCACATTGGAGGGAGTATGGAAGAATTGAATGTTTTCAAATATTTGGGAGATGACTTGTCAGTGGATGGGTTTATGAAGGATGAGGTTAACCACAGAATTGATGAAAGAAGAAAGGTGAGTGGTGCATTGAGGTGGAGACAAAGAACGTTATCCATGGAGGCTAAGAAGGGAATGTACGAAAGTATAGTGGTACCAACACTCTTATATGGGTGTCAAGCATAGGTTGTAAATGCTGCAGCGAGGAGGCGGCTGGAGGCAGTGGAGGTGCCGTGTGTAAGGGCAATGTGTGGACTTACTAAAAACATTAGTCAGAGGGCTGAAGAGGGGCCGTTGACGTGATTTGGTCATTTAGAGAGAATGAAACAAAGCAGAATGATTGGATAACATATAAATCTGTAAGGAAAGGAAGGCGGGGTAGGGGTCATCCCCGAAAAGGTTGGAGGGGGGGGGTAAGGGGGGTTTTGTGGGCGAGGGGCTAGGATTTCCAGCAAGCGTGCGGGAGCGTGTTAGATAGGAGTGAATGGAGACGAATGGTTCTTGGGACCTGAGAAGCTGCTGGAGTGTGAGCAAGGTAATATTTTGTGAAGGGATTCGAGGAAACCGGTTAGCCTGACTTGAGTCCTGGAAATGGAAAGTACCCCTCCTTTAAAGGAGGGGTTTGGGATACTGGCAATTTGGAGGTTCACTTTTAAACTGTTGTATCTGAGCGCCTCTGCAAAGACAGTGATTATGTACGAGTGATGGTGAAAGTGTTCAATGAAGAAAGTTTTTTTTTTTCTTTTGGTCACCCTGCCTCGGTGGGAAACGGCCGACGTGTAATAATAATAATATTATTATTATAATATATATATATATATATATTATATATATATATATATATATATATATATATATATATATATATATATATATATATATATATATATGTCGTGCTGAATAGGCAGAACTTGCGATCTTGGCTTAAATAGCAACGCTCATCTTGCCATATAGGACAAGTGAAAATTTGTGTATGCAATAATTTCGCCAGAATCATTCTGAACCTAACGAAAAAAATATATTTCACTGCGTTTGTTTAGTATTAAATTATTGTAAACAAATCTAAAATATATATAGTTGGGTTAGGCTAAAATAAATTGTTCTTGTTATAATAAGGTTAGGTAAGTTTTCTAAGATTCTTTTGGTGCAAAATTAAAAATTTTTACATTAACATTAATGAAAAAAATATATCTTTAAACGTATAAGAGAAAATTTTAGAAAGGACTAAATTTTAAATGAGTTCTTGCTAATTGACCAGTTTTACATATTCGGCACGACACACACACACACACATATATATATATATATATATTGTCCATGGGGAAGTGGAAAAGAATCTTTCCTCCGTAAGCCATGCGTGTCGTATGAGGCGACTAAAATGCCGGGAGCAATGGGCTAGTAACCCCTTCTCCTGTATACATTTACTAAAAAAGAGAAGAAGAAAAACTTTATAAAACTGGGTTGCTTAAATGTGCGTGGATGTAGTGCGGATGACAAGAAACAGATGATTGCTGATGTTATGAATGAAAAGAAGTTGGATGTCCTGGCCCTAAGCGAAACAAAGCTGAAGGGGGTAGGAGAGTTTCAGTGGGGGGAAATAAATGGGATTAAATCTGGAGTATCTGAGAGAGTTAGAGCAAAGGAAGGGTAGCAGTAATGTTAAATGATCAGTTATGGAAGGAGAAAAGAGAATATGAATGTGTAAATTCAAGAATTATGTGGATTAAAGTAAAGGTTGGATGCGAGAAGTGGGTCATAATAAGCGTGTATGCACCTGGAAAGAGAGGAATGCAGAGGAGAGAGAGAGATTTTGGGAGATGTTAAGTGAATGTATAGGAGCCTTTGAATCAAGTGAGAGTAATTGTGGTAGGGGACCTGAATGCTAAAGTAGGAGAAACTTTTAGAGAGGGTGGTAGGTAAGTTTGGGGTGCCAGGTGTAAATGATAATGGGAGCCCTTTGATTGAACTTTGTATAGAAAGGGGTTTAGTTATAGGTAATACATATTTTAAGAAAAAGAGGATAAATAAGTATACACGATATGATGTAGGGCGAAATGACGTAGTTTGTTGATATGTATTGGTAGATAAAAGACTGTTGAGTAGAC